CGAAAATTAGAACGTTTTGGAGAGGACATTTGCATGCATGCATTAAGCAACTAAGAAAACTGAATTTAGAAGTATTAAGTTGCTCGGAATGTGCTGGCCGATTTTTCGACTCACTTCTAATAACCTAAAGAAGTCGCTATTTCTTGTAGAGTTTTATACAGAAATTTTACGTGCCTAATAATTATTGGCACTGTTTACTATCTATCCGGTATTTTCTCCCAGAGTGCTATTCTGAGGCATATAAGCCCTTAATAGCGGAGATGGAAGGATATGATATGCGTTTACCTTTCTTTCATGAGTTCAGTCTCGGTCATAATACATTCCAAACAGCCACCGATATAAACAGAGAGAAGGGTCCACAAGTGATCAGGCAGTACGAAGGTGGTTTCAGAATTCCTGTAGTGGCAATGAGAGCTTTTAATATGATGACAGACTAACATTGCAAATAATAATTCCCTTGTCGTACTAGCAACATAGTAACCGATCACGACGATGGAGCCGAGGGAATCATTGGTACGTGAAGATGCGCTTTACTTGCAAAGGATTTTTAAGGGTTTTCGACAGTGATAGCCTCTCATTTAGTTTCCCTGGATGTACTCCGTCCATCGCGTTTTCGCTGACAATGTTGCTCTTTTCGACGTTTACTTCTGTTTCCCTGAATCAATGGTTATGCCAAAAATAAGGAATTCTCGAATACATCGATCTACAGAACAGGAATATTATCTTTCAATCAGGCGATTACCATAGTCACATTATGTGACTGAATATAATTATTGACCAAATATTTGGTTTTTAAAATTTCGTTAACACGTCTCAAGTCTTTCTCTTCTGGAGCACGAACGTTTTATAATAAGTGTCTCTTTTATCGGCCCACAAATTTACAACTAGAAGTGACCATTGTGGATCTAGTTTGACTTAACCAAAGAACTTAGACATTAGTGGTAGCCAACGTCCGTAAGTATAAGACAGGACACTGGGTTCACTGGCTTGGGAAGAAAAAGAACTTTGAGGAACATAGTAGTAGTCCCGTACCTGGGCAGCATCCTCCCCCTTAACGCCAAAATCGATGAAGAAGTCGCCAACAGGATCTCGAAAGCCGGTCAAGCCTTCGGTCGCCTCCAAAGCACAGTCTGGAATCGTCACGGTCTCCAACTGAGCACGAAGCTGAAGATGTACAAGGCCGTCATCCTGTCGACGCTGCTGTACGGAGCAGAGACTTCGACAGTATACACAAAGCAGGCACGTCGACTGAACCACTTTAACCTTAGCTGTCTCTGTCGCATCCTGAAGCTGAACTGGCAGGATCAAATCCCCGACACTGATGTGCTGAAACGGACGGGAATCCTCAGCATCTACACCATGCTCAGACAAATGCAGCTGCGTTGGAGCAGCCACCTGGTGCGCATGGACGACGAGCGACTACCCAAACGACTTTTCTACGGAGACGTCGCCACGGGCTCTCACCGTCAAGGAGGCCAAATTCGTCGATACAAGGATACTCTGACGTCCTCCCTGAAGCATCTACAAATTAACCCGACCAACTGGGAAGAGCTCGCCCTCGACCGACCGACCTGGAATAGGAAAGTGAAGACAGGCGCTGCGATCTATGAGGCCAACCGAATCGCCGCTGTCAAAGTAAAACGCGACGCACGAAAATCACGGCCACGCCCCGTCCGCAACGCCGACGCACAACCGATTCCAACGTGTCCTCGGTGTCAACGGACATTCCGGACACGAATCGGACTCATTGGACATCTTCGGACCAACTGCACCTCCCATACCGCGCCAACCGCCGTCCCTCCGCCCGCCTCTTCCTCGTCCTCTCCGCCGCCAACTACCTCTGGCAATTCTTCTGAACCACCACTTCCGTCCTCCCCCTCTTCCTCCTCCTCC